AAGAGCGTGGATGCATTTTTACAAGTAATGAGGATGCCAAATATTAACAAACGTCTTCTGTGGGAGTCTGTAGGAGACGGCACCAGTGGAAGCCACAGCAGGTCAAAGAGTGCCAAAGGAAAAGCACCCCAGCCCACTTCCATTTTGCAAGCTGAAAGAACAGGCAGGGCCAAAACAGGACCCTGAAAAATCCAGGGAACAGGTCTTGTGCATTATTAGCAACAGTCTTTGGCGTTATTAGCAGCAGAAGTAAATGTTCTTAAACGTGTGCTGATGCATGCCCCTGAGCACTGTAATGCACTTCCATGTAGGACTCCGTGCTTGTAGTTAAACCCAATAAAGCTCCATTGATTCAGAAATAAGCATTATAGCACTGATTCCCCCCCCAGGTTAGAAATGGTTTATGGAAGCAACTAAAAATTTCAACCATGCTTTCCCCAGAACCTGATGCTTTTGACTTTTTTTTTTTTAAACTAGGCCAAAACTGCCTAAATAAGTTGCATTTGTGTTCAACACTATCCTTTTCAGGTGAATTATAGCCAATAGCTTTAGAAGTAAAAACCAAAGTCCTGAAACTAGCCTGCCTAAATAAACTAGGCACATCTAGAGCAAACTGCGTCCTGTTCTCGCTTACACGGCTAAGCAAGACGGGAAGGCAGCTACTGGGTTGATTATAACTGGTAATGTGAGGATGATAAAGAGATCCAGATGGTTGCTTTATGAATTCAAATAGATGCCCATTTCCTTCTCTTCCCAATTGTCCTGTTTTAGGAGACAACTTTACCTCCACACTTCTGACTGTCTTGCAGGAAAAGGATTGCAATCGAAGGAAGAGCTGTGAATTGTAACATTATTAACCAGCTATTACATGGCTGGAATGCTTGTTAGGCTTATAAATTGAGATATTAAATTACAAAACACAGTGAAGGAAGCAGAGCATTTAAAATTATCCTGCACCCAAGCTATCATCAGTAGTTATTTGAAAGCAGGCAGCAATGTGTGTACATGGGGAATGGTAAAAGAAGTGGTTTGATCTGCCAAGAATACTTGGAACCGTTCCTTACAGAGAAATCCACTCTTCTAAATTCAGTTCACTACTTTAACGCCCCAAGGCTTAGCGTAACCTAATCCAGCCAGATACAATTTATGGGAACATAACTTAGATCTGGTAGGTCAGCCCTTTTTCTGGCTGCTGTAGGGGAGGCACTGTTCCTCCTCGTCGTAAAGATGGTGAGAACCACAGGCCACGTTGCTGGGACATCTCCTGCCACTGAAGCCAAGTCCCGTCTGACGGCGACTGGCCCAGGCTCAGACTCGAGCAAGAAAATACTCCCAGGCTTCCCATTCCCCCAGTGCAACCTCCCGTCACAGACAGTTAGTCCATCAAAAGGCAATTCCTGCTCTTGAGAGAGGTAATCATCGGGGCAAATACAAGATTTTAATGAACACATTAAATACCACTCGAGAAAGTTATGCGGTAACTTAACTCTCAGTAAGCAAAGGGGGCAGAAAATCTTGTTTAAGACTTCCTTGGGTTTTGTTTTCTGTAATCCGGCACTACGCTGTTTGACCTGGGCTACCTCTTGGGTTCAATCAAATGTTCAGACATTGGGTGGCTCCTCTTCAATACAAGTTTTTTTTTTTTTAAATTAGCTTCCTATGAAAGCATGACTATTTTGTCTGCTGAGCCATCTTCATCCTTTACTGTCATGACGACAAAGCATTTGCTGTACATGGCATAACGATCAGAAAAAAAATATCCAAGGTCATTGTGAAATGACTGACAACACATATGGGCATAAAAATGAGATCTCAATTCTGCAACACCCATGTACCTGGGACTCACTGACTTCAATGAAAGCACTCACATGAGTAAAGTTAAGCACGGGTCATACAGGTTTACATTGAAAGTAGTAAGAGACGGCAAACTCTGGATCGTCACCTGAAGTGACGATCGCTACAACAAATGAATGGTTTCTGTTCAGACTGATCTGCAAACACAGGGGAAACACCCAGATGATGACTACTTATATCTCACCTGTTTGTAGGCATAAAGCTCTTTGTGTGCCTGATGTCTGAGCCTAGAAATCAAGAGAGAAAAGAATGAGTATGAGTAAGATGGGTCAAAGACGACCAGGATTAGCATGATACCTAGATGAGACAACAACAACTTGCCTTTCCCCTTGGTTTTTCAAATAACAGATTGTTGTCGATTGGAAAATGCAGAACAGGCACACAGCGATGCAGTATCCAGGTCCCAGTGAGTTAGTTTAGATACTATTTAATATAAATTATAACTGGAGATATACATGCCAACCCACTGAAGGTGACCTTCTATAATCTACCTTTTCTGAATAGTCCAGTTTGCTGTGCAGGCATGATCTGAGCTGTTAAACAGATGCTCAGCAAACCCTTGACCTGAATAAATGGAGAGAATTAGCAACTAATGAACAGGCATGTTGTCCTATCACATCTGCTGCTAGGATTCATACCGGATAGGGGGGGCATTGCATCTTTTTTCTTTTAATGGTGATGGGAAATCACAGAACCACAGCAAACAGGGCTGGATGGGCCCGCAGGAGATCAGCTAGTCCAACCCTCGGCTCAAGGCCGGATCATAAACCAGCCCAGCCAAGTCTTCATTTGACCTGCCCTTAAACACTTTCAGCAATGCACAATTTTACATCTTCCCTAGGTAATCTGCTCTGGTTAGAAGGGGCTTTCCAATATCCAACCTGATAATTAACCCCAGGCGCTCAGCCAGGAGAACACGGGGAAGAAAGGCACCTCTGTCCCGACTGTAACAAATTCGGGGAGGAAACCGAATAAAAAGGAAACCCCCTCCCTCCGCCTTTGGGCCACTGCACTGCACCAGTAAATTAAAACCTGTCCTCAAGCCAACTGCGTGCTGCATTTTTGATATCTAATACTGGCAAGGTAGTTTTCTGACATCAAACATCAAGAAGTGCTCAAAGCAAGTGGTTTGTCTATTTAAAAAAAACCCCAAAACAAACCTCCCCGAAAAGCAAATGATAAGTATCCCTTTTAAAGAGAAAAGTAAACATGCTCTGGAAGGGAAACAGTGTGGGATTTTGTAGCTTTGATGTACAATTAGAGGCAACTGAATATAATAATAATAATAATAATAAAAAAAAAGATAAATCAGCTGCCAAAAATGACAGGAAACTGAAATTTCATTTACATTTACTTAATTCGTCAGAAGATGAAGTGATTGCGGTTGCTAGACAAATGATCTGTTTTTTTGTTGCTTATGTTTAATCCGTGGAGTCGGACTCTAATGAGCTCCGAGTTATCGGCATGAGTCTCATCTCTGCTGCACTGAACCGGGCCTTCCCCCATGGGGAAGGTATAAGGTCAGTGTTAGATAAGGGTCAGGACCCTAAGTCATGTATAGGCACCCAGCATGCTCAAGAGGAGGGAATATTTAAACACTGCCCAAGTTTTCAAAAAGCGCTAGGAGAGTACATTTTTGCTTTCTGCATACATCACTTTCTGGGACTGAGTCAAGAGGTGGAGACTGAATGGATGGATCAACATTAAAAAATGCCTGTGCAGCAAGACATGCTAGCTGGGGATGGTAGGGAGAAGGAAATTTGTGAATAGAAAGAGAAGTTAAAAAGTGCCACAAATGGAAGCCACGTTTGTGGCATCTGAAATGAAACAAAGGCCCCGGCAACGTCACTTAGGATCAATAATCATAATAAAAAAAGTTCATTGCATCAGTATGCTTGGCAAAAATTGCAGTGAATGTACATCGTATGCCTTTAACATTAGCTCATTTCACAGACTATCAGCTGATCTTGCAAAAAAAGAAGATGATCAGGAACAGTCAGCAGGGATTCACCAAGGGCAAGTCATGCCTGACCAACCTGATTGCCTACCGAGATGAGATGACTGGCTCTGTGGGTGCGGGGAGACCCGTGGATGTGGGGGACCTTGATTTTAGCAAGGCTTTTGATACGGTCTCCCACAACGTTCTCACAAGCCAGCTAAGCAAGTACGGGCTGGATGAATGCCCTGTAAGGGGGACAGAAAACTGGCTGGAGCATTAGGCTCAGACGGTAGTAATCAATGGTTCGATGTCTAGTTGGCAGCTGGCATCAGGTGGAGTGCCCCACGGGTCGGTCCTGGGGCTGGTTTTGTTCAATATGTTCATCAGTGACCTGGAAGATGGGATGCAGTGCACCCTCAGCAAGTTTGCATGACACCAAGCTGGGGGGTGTAGTATATACGCTGGAGGGTCGGGCTAGGATTCAGAGTGACTTAGACAAATTGGAGGATTGGGCCAAACAAAACCTCATGAGGTTCAACAAGGACAAGTGCCAAGTCCTGCACTTAGGATGGAGCAATCCCCTGCACCGGGACAGGCTGGGGGCAACTGCCTGGGCAGCAGCTCTGCAGAAAAGGACCCGGGGGGACAGTGGACAAGAAGCTGAATGAGCCAGCAGTGTGCCCTTGGTGCCAAGAAGGCTAACGGCATCCTGGGCTGCACTGGTAGGAGCGTTGCCAGCAGGTTGAGGGCAGTGACTCTTCCCCTCTGTTCAGCACTGGGGAGGCCACATTTGGAGTCCTGTGTCCAGTTGTGGGGCCCCCACTACAGAAAGGATGTGGACAAGTTGGAGACAGTCCAGTGGAGGGCAATGAAAATGGTTTTCAGGTGCTGGGGCACATGACTGGTGAGGAGAGGCTGAGGGAAATGGGCTGATTGAGTCTGCAGAAGAGAAGACCGAGGGGGACTGAACAGCAGCCTTCACCTCCCTGCAGGGGGGCTGCAAAGAGGATGGAGCTGAGCTGTCCTCAGTGGGGGCAGACGACAGGACAAGGAGCAATGGGCTCAAGTTGCAGCAAGGGAAGTTGAGGTTGGATATTAGGAAAACCACTCACTAGGAGGGTGGTGAAACACTGGAGCAGGTTACCCAGAGAGGTGGTGGACTCTCCATTCTTGGAGGTTTTGAAGACCCGGGTAGACAAAGCCTTGTCTGGGATGATGTAGCTGGGGCTGGTCCTGCTTGGAGCAGGGGGTTGGACTAGATGTGACCTCCTGAGCTCCCTTCCAGCCCTCCTTGTCTGTGAGTCTATGATTCTAACTCTGAATAGCAGCCTTTGTGTACAATAGCCTGAGTTGGGGAAGGGCAGGCACAATGTCTTATTCCGTTTAGGAGTATAGAAGAGTGGGTCCAGTTGGTCTCATGTCACGATTTCCATAAAGAACATGGACCTTGAAGACAGGGCCAGGTGCCAGCAGCCGTCGCAGGCCGGATTGCAATTCTATTTTTAAGTGAAGGGTTATCGCCAGCCCACTTTGCTCACCTTCACAATAAGCGGTGGCACTTATGTGGGTCACTAGAAGGTGGACGGCATTTTACAGATATCAACTTTCAGGTGACACTGCTTGTTCTTTCACAGCCAGAAACAGCCTCTCGTGTAAGTTATGATGGTTAGTAATTTGTGCATAAATCCAAAGAGGTAGGTTATAAAGGTTAAGAAACTGGCCCACGGCTTTTAGCACGCGACTAGGACGTGTGCACATACAGGCCAGATGGACACAGCTGCTTCTTCTGAGCCAAATCATCCATTTCAGGCTCCCTAACAATTTGAAGGTGGGACGGTTGCTGCCCTGTCATTCTGCTTTGGAAACATTGCGATGGGATGCTCCATCCCGTTTCTCAGCTCCCTGCTAGTCTGAGGACAGAACTGGCAGAGGTGGGTTTTTTGGTCCTCACGTACAACATTAGCTTGGCCCAGCAGGAACCAGGCCTGCCATCCACCGACCCCTGAGCCTGACTTACTCTCCCCAGGACTTTCCCATCACTTCCAAGCAAAAGCTCCCAAGGAAACAAGAGTCAAGGGGGCAAAACTGTACTTGGCTCCAACAATGAGGAGCTTGGCTCTCAATCAGAGTTACAAATGACAGGACAGCGCTGTTCTCCAACGATACCATCTATGAGCACTCTCACTCGGGGCATGCCCCAGAAGAAAGTCAAACTGCAATAGGCGGGAACTGTAAAGCCAACGCCACCCACCCGCATGGGAAGTAAGCTATTTCCCTGTGATGGCAGGTGCAACACAGACGGGTGTAGGTCACACAGACACTGAAAACCAGGGTAAGACTGGTCGTCTGTAGGGAGACCCGAAAGGAAACAAATTCTCCAGGGAAACCTTGGCTTTCCTACTGAGAGACAGACCCGGGTTCTCCCCTGGAGGCCAACTCCAAGCGCGAGCTCTTTGTGAGCACGAGGGAAAAACCACGTGGCTGCTTTCCAAATGCTTTGGGGAAATGATGAAGCGGCAGAGGCCCCTTTACTTGGGCTGGCTCAGAGGCCCCAAGGCCCAGAGCAGACACCAAAGCACTCACTTAGGCGTCGAGCTATCACAGGTACGGCAGGATGCTCTGCCAGGGGAGGGGGAGGAAAGTCTTTAGGGCTACTGCAACGAGGCATGTGCTGGAGCAAACGGGGAAGGGCAAAATTACAACCAAACCCAAGACCAAGGCACAATGCCATCCTCCCCTCCACACCAGAGCCCTTACAAGCATGGGAGAAGGGCATTCGTCTTGGGCCAGGAGCCTGGGATGCAGACGCGAGCGCTGACAGATGGTATCATTAGAGAAGAGATCGCACATAGTTGGATAGAGATGTCCGTCCAGTTTCAGCCTGGCGAGACTGGGAGCACAAAACGAATCGATCCTTCCTGGCAGCTTGACTGTACCCAGTTTGTGCCCCTTCCGCAACAGCTTCTCTCTTTTAAAAGGGAATACTGCATCTCTCTGGGGAAATGTTACTCTCTTGAGTTGCAGCTACTATTAGAAGCATTTCGGTAACGAGTTGAGCAAGCGACTAAAAGTAACAACATTCAGAGGAAAGAACGTTTTGTAGAATTACCTCCGTTATTAGTACACATAACCTCGCCGAGTTCATAGATAGAAATCTGTAAAACAGGCAGCACAGTCTAGAAGAAAAAACCTCATCAAAGTCTCACATTTTGCAAAAGGGTAGCGGTTAAAGATGCAGTATCTCTGACTTGACGTTCTCAATGGCTCTACTATTTACCGCCCGCAGTG